TATCTATTATTGCCATTCTTTCTATTAAAAACTTTCTACGCCTTCTCTCTCTATTGCAGAATTTCTTCCTTTGTTTCTATCTATCTATCTATCTATCTATCTATCTATCTATTTATCTCAGTCCGTTCATTATATATCTGTCTGTCTTACTTTATTTCTTCTGCTCATTTTCTATCTATCTAACCAGGTAGCCATCTCAGTAGATTCATTATTTATCTTTCTTTCTTTCTTTCTTTCTTTCTTTCTTTCTTTCTTTCTTATTATATTAATTTTCTATCTATCTATCTATCTATCTATCTATCTATCATCTATCTATCTATCTATCTATCTCAGTCTGTTCATATTTATCTATCTATCCAGCCATTCATCTATCTATTATAACCATTTTTTCTATTAAAGCCTTCCTCTTCTCTCTCTATTGCACAATTTCTTCCTTTATTTCTTTTTATCTATCTATCTATCTATCTATCTATCTATCTATCTATCTATCTATCTATCTATTACAGCCATTTTTTCTATTAAAGCCTATCTTTCCCTTCTCTCTTTATTTTCTCTATCTATCTATTACAACCTTTTCTTCTTTTTTCTATTACAGCCTTTCTTTCTTTCTTTCTTTCTTTCACTTTCTTTCATTTAATTCATCTATTTACAAATTTTTCCTTTCTTTCTTCTCTTTTAGGATGCGTGGGTGGTGTACTTATTATTAAACAAATATAGAGGAAGAAAGAAAGAAAAGCTATAATAAAAAAAGAAGGAAATAGATGTAATAGATAGATAGATAGATAGATGAATAGATAGATAGATAGATAGATAGATGATAAATAAATAAAGAGAGAGAAGGAAAGATAGGCTTTTAATAGAAAGAATGGCTTTGTAATAGAATAGATAGATAGATAGATAGATAGATAGATAGATAGATAGATAGAAAGAAAGAAAGAAATCGTCTGAGAAATAAACAAGAAAGGCTGAGATAATTAAACGCAGTAACAAACAAGAAACTAAATTTAATATACATATATTTTCCGTCTGTCATTATGTGTCCATTAGACATTCAAATATACAAGGAAAGCCGATGATATAAGTTCAGATGATAACTAAGAAAGATATTAATATAGTAAAGTGACTTTTGAAAGTTAAAGGAGTACTAATTTATTTCTTTTTCTCACCGCCCTCTTAAAAAACACTTATACGTTTTTTCTTCGTCGACCTAGTTAGATGCAACCCGATGGCAATATGTTTCTGAATGCAGTATGTTCAGAAACGTGTTCCAACCAAAGGGCGCCATATTTGACGTAATCAAAAGACACCCCCTTCTCTCTCTCTTTCTCTTTCTCTCTCTCTCTTTCTCTCTCTCTCTCTCTCTCTCTCTCTCTTAATGGGGAAAACGACACTGTTAAATGAAAACACGACACGTCGCTAATCCCGTGACCATCTAAAACCACTTCGTCAAACGGTGATGATTGATTTTTTGGCAATGATTAGCCTTCCGGCCCGGAAAAAAAAGGTTAGCAAAAGGACGATTTTTCCCTTTACACCGCTATTACTGCGTGAACTTATGACTCCCTCGGCAATGTGTTTTTTTTTTTGTTGTTTTTTTTTTAAGCGTTTCACCCTAAGCAAGACGGAAAGCCACTATGACACAAGGGGTTACAGAAGATTTGGAGCAAGATCAGATAGGAGTGATAGAAGAAAGGATGAGGAGAAGGATAGTGGATAGATCAAGGCAACTGGAGATGTCGATTGACATTACATTTGAATATTTGGAGATTATAGCTCTCAGGGAACCTGGAATAGGGAAGGGAGTTCCAAAGGCGAGAGGTGCGAGACATGAAGCTATTGGAGTAGAAGAGACGGCTACATTTAGTAGTTTCGGCAGTGTAAAGGTGAGAGCGGGATGCCAGCCTCGTAGGGCGCTTGAATTCATGAAGTCTGGGAACCAGCGAATGCAGCTCCTCGGAGCAATTACCATGAAAGTATTTGTAAAAAAGACAGGTTTGTTTACAAGATTATACAAATAAGTGAACCAAGTACAATGAGATATTTGTTATTTAACTTTTTAAAGGATTTACTTACCATTTTATAAAGAAATAAATTTGAAAAAGGAATCTTTTATTCAAAGAATTATTAAAATTACAAAATTATAAAAACGCATAAAATAACTACAATGCAACATTTATTACTTACTATTTTATACATAACTATGAAAACATGTTTTTATTCAATTCAATAAATAAATGGCGTTTAATATCATTGTTATCAATTCTCAAGAATGAAGTAAATGTATAAATGCATTCCAATCATCGCTTTTTAAATACAATAAACATTGCCGAGTGAGTCAAAATATATACAATAACAGTGGTGTCAAGGGAATAACTGTCCTTGAGATACACCGTTTAATCACGAGTACAAATTTTTTTTTCCAGGCAAAGCAAGCATAATTGCGATCAATAAAGCAGATGATTTGAAATTTTAAAAAAATACTCCAGTGAGTATTTATTAATTTTTTTTTAAGCAAGGAAGCCTATTTTTTCGTGACAGTGTCATTACCATTTTGGCTACGAAGACTTTACTGGCAGGAGTGGTTCAAATAAGTCATACTTCTATATTCCTTACTTTGTAATGAGTGTAATAATCCTTTCATCAATTCCCTTCAAATTCGAAGGACTAAGGAAAAAATAAAAAAATTCGAGAGCCTATGTGAGATTTTTTGATATAAAGGAATATGCATACACCTGTGTCCCCCCCTCACTGCAATATGATTGGTTGGTGTCCGTCATAAATACCGACGGGCGTGTAGGAGAGTCAGAAGAAGAGCCTTGGTCCGAGAGCTAAGTCTATAACGACGCCCATTGGACTACGCCATTGATCTACACTTCTTACCTGCGACTACGACGCGTACCAATCGATTACTGCTACCGTATTCTACTTGGTTATAGTAGCCAAAACCACTTAGCTACTTCGTTCAAATATAACCCTATCCGGGATATATTTTTGCATTTCACAGAAATTAACTGGGGAGCCGCGAAGAAGAAGGAAAGAAATTCGCAAGCCGATGTGAAATTTTTTGGGATCAATGAAAATCTTACCTTCACAGAAATTCGCCAGTGAGCCAAGAAGAAGAAAGAAAGAAAGTAGCGAGCTGACGCGAAATTCTTTTTTTATATATATATAAAATGAGGAAAAAAATTAAATTAATTAGAAAAGTGTTTGAAGTCATGTGAAAGGTTACGTTTCGGTTCCTCGCGACTAGCATTAAAGTACTGGCCAGTATAAAATTACTTGTCGATTATATTATCGACCTCTAACCAACACTCAGCACTTCAAAGAATTTTCTCTCAACAACCCAAGAAAGCTAAGTATTTCAAAAGATCACTCTCTTTTTTTTTATGTATGCAAATCATTCGGCGAGCAACGAACTCTCTTGCCTTTGTAAACATTTTTAATAGTATTTTTGTCTCAGATCATTTAATATGTTATATGAATATTTCCTCTTCATGACAATACGTTAAAACTACGGACTTCTGATTTATTTTCCAGAGACGAGCTACTGACACTAATTCAAACGTGTAAATTCGTGAGTAAATTTATTGTCTTATTTTGTTAAAATTATCCGTGTTTTTTTCTCGTCATTATCATCCTTCACTAACCTTTTTGACGTGGGTAAATCAACTGTTCATTTTAACCCCTAAGGACCATGCCATAATAACTTCTCTGAAACTCTGCTACAAAGCCGCCATCTTCTTTTTTTTTCATGTACCCCAAAAGTAGTATTAGATGTTATAGTCTACGAATTTCTTAGATGAAATATCATATAATTTTGATTGTTTTCAGAGTTTTTCATTTAGCACGTATGTTACAACATACCAAGGCCTCATAAGCAATGGACTGATTCATTTTGATAGCATGGAAAGACGGTGAGGACATATAAGCGACCCTACTTAGCTTCAGTGAGAAAATGAAAGAAAGAAAGAATATAGAAATAAAAAAGAAAGAAAGAAAGACAGGAAAAAAAATTAAAGGCAAAAGTAAGAATAAAAGAAATAAATAAATAAAGAACGAAAAAGGAAAGAAAGAAAAAGAAAGAAAGAATAAATAAATAAAGAAAGAAAGAAAGAAAGAAAGAAGAAAAAGAAAGAAAGAAAAAAGGAAGAAAGAATAAATAAAGATGGAAAGAAAGAAAGAAAAATAAATGAAGAAACAAAGAAAGAAAAATAAATAAATAGAGACAGAAGGAAAGAAAGAAAAAAGAAAGAATAAATAAATAAATAAATAAAGAAAGAAACAAAGAAAGAAAAATAAAGAAAGAAATAAAGAAAGAAAAATAAAGAAAGAAATAAAGAAAAAGAAAGAAAAAAGAAGAAATAAATAAATAAATAAATAAATAAATAAAAATGGAAAGAAGAAAAAATAAATAAATAAATAAAAATAAATAAAGAAAGAAAGAAAGAAAAAGAAAGAAAAAAGAAAGAAGAAATAAATAGATAAAAAAATAAAGATGGAAAGAAAGAAAAAAATAAATAAAGAAAGAAAGAAAGAAAGAAAGAAAGAGAAGAAAGAAAAAAGAAAGAAAAAGAAAGATAAAAGAAAGAAGAAAAAAATAAATAAAGATGGAGAGAAAGAAAGAAAGAAAGAAAGAAAGAAAGAAAGACGGAATGAAGAAAAATAGAAGTTTTTAACGTCTGTTTTACTGAGATGGAAAAAGTTGGCGATTTCAAATCTTTTGATTTGTACTCCCTTACTTCTTTAAATAACGACCAGCTTTCCTATTTATGATTGTTTTTGTTTTTTTTTTGTTTTTGTTGTTCGTTTTTTTTTGTTTTTTTTGCAATATTTGAAATTGTTAAGCTCAAATATTTACCGATGTGATAGGAAAAATTTCTACAGATAAAACTCGCCCTGAGCTTATTCAATCATTAAGATTCATTAGAAAATTCAAATAGAGAAGCCATGAAATGTTCACAGGTTTTTTCAGTCATTATTATTACTGCCTCATTTTTCTAACCTCTATTCTACAATCTATGAGCACAAAGAACCTGGTCAGATATTAAAAATATGATTAAAGGTATAAGCCTCAGTTGAGATTTGCATTCGAATTCCCCAGTAGGTATTCTCCACGGTGCAATAACTTTGTGTTCGAGTTCAATTAAACGAAAGCATTTGCGTGCTAATTTTCCAGTTAAGGAAGTAATCGATTTTTAAAAGATTGACATAATTTTTTCTGGTTGTCCTTCTGCGTGTCAGCGAGCGTGTTATTACGCTTATCTTATTGTTTACCAATAACGTCCGATGTATTCTCTCTCGTTTTTCGATAATTTCATCATTATTTAACCTCTGGTATTAGATAATACACTTTGAAAGAAGCGAAAAAGAACAGCCGCAGTTTGGTAAATAAATCGGCGAACGAGATTTGCAGACGTCGTATATTTGCCACTGTGACCTACACAAGATTGTCGCGAGCGAAGATACGAAAGTAGGATTTGTTTAACAACGTTAAACGTATTTGAGGATTTTCCCAGAATTCAATTACTGTGCAATGATCACATTTCTTAGCAATACCCACCTAAAAAAAATCCGCCCACAAAACATTTAAATATCTTTTTGAATTTCTAATACAATTAAATTCTTATTATGCGTTATCGTCAAGACATCAGCGTTCGAAGGTCCCAGATCAGTAATAACGCGGTTCAACTAAGATGGCTGCCGTCTTTGATCGGCAGCATTTTCGTCAGTTACCTCAAACTGAACGCTTAAAATTAAACATCTCGAAAACTAAATCGGTTCAAATCAACTAACATCATGAATATGACAATCAACCTGAGCCCAAATGTCCTGAATAGGACAATAAAGTTGAGTCGAAACGTCGTGAATATGACAATAATGATGAGGACAGCAGTCTGAACAATGTAAATAGTGCAAATACTTACTCATCTCAGAAATATAGACACATGTTAAATCAATTAGTTTTGCTTTTTCTTTTTTCGTTTCATTTGTGTTATATTGTTATTTATTGTATATAAAATACAATTACGGAACAAGGCCAAAATGGGGAGGGAGGTATTAAAGCTGTTCGATTTAAAATTCCGGTCGAAAACTCTTCTACATATCCTTCAAAAGAGGTGAGTTCAGAACCACTCTCGCCAACTCTCAGGACTTAATATCTCTGATCTCTCTAGCTTTAGTTACCAATAAATCTAAGGGAAAGCCAATTCTTCCTGGAAAATTCTTAAAGCGTGAGGCTCAACTCTTAAAAACCTACATACCACGAAAATCAAATGGGGCACAGCAAATAAAGTTGTCTCTATGGACATATACCCCAGAAGACGGTCTACTGGTACTAAGAAATAGAAGCAGAATGGCATGTGCAACGTGCTCATAGCGTAGCGGTTAAAGGTACGGGAATTGGGTTTAGAGCGCCTGGGAAATATACTGAAGCCATCACTTCTCCCCTCATTTGGGGGATATGAGCTTTGGGTGCTAACTAAACTAGGGGGGGCGCAACTCAATTCAAAATCGTCGCTCGAAAGTCTTAAAGAAATAACGAAGAAAATGTGCCCCACACCCGAGATTTACATTATTTACATTATTCGGACTATTGTCCTCATCTTTGTTGCCATATTTATCCGATCGTTCAGTATCTGTCTATATTTCTGAGATGAGGTATTATGTACACTATTTACATTATTCGGACTATTGTCCTCATCTTTGTTGCCATATTTATCCGATCGTTCAGTATCTGTCTATATTTCTGAAATGAGGTATTATGTACACTATTTACATTATTCGGACTATTGTCCTCATCTTTGTTGCCATATTTATCCGATCGTTCATTATCTGTCTATATTTCTGAGATAAGGTATTATGTACACAAATTACATTATTCGGACTATTATCCTCATCTTTGTTGCCATATTTATCCGATCGTTCAGTATCTGTCTATATTTCTGAGATGAGGTATTATGTACACTATTTACATTATTCGGACTATTGTCCTCATCTTTGTTGCCATATTTATCCGATCGTTCAGTATCTGTCTATATTTCTGAAATGAGGTATTATGTACACTAATTACATTATTCGGACTATTGTCCTCATCTTTGTTGCCATATTTATCACAACGTTTCGGCCGTTGTACGCTCCGGCCTTTTTATCGACTGCGCCATGTGTCCAGAGTGGATAAAGGCGTTGGTTAGATCCAGTGACAGGACCCAAAGAATTGTGAGTTCAATACCTGGTTAAGGCGGTGGATAACTTGGAGAAGTGAATTAACAGGAGATAACTGATAAGTGACATCTATTAGACATGGCACGTGGAACTAGAACAGTCTACCCCAGCGAGCGAAATAAAGGGTTCAGTTCAACATTCCAACCACCTGAAGAAGGCCGGAGCGTGCAAAGGCCGAAACATTGTGATAAATATGGCAACAAAGATGAGGACAATAGTCCGAATAATTTAAAGAAATAATTATAATTTTAGAGACAAAAGATTAAAACACAGATGAAGTAAAAGATGAAAGTTGGCAAAAAAAGATCTGGCTTTTGCTGTGGATATTATTGCACAATTAACTGATCTTAATTTTTTAAAAAACAAAGGTAAAAACAAACTTATCACTCAGTTGTATGATGACATTTCACGTGTGCTTCATTACAACTCAGTTGTATAAAATTGCTTCATTTATGGATGTCACAGGATGTCAAATTAAAATTTAGTTCATTTACCTACGTGCAAAGAGCTGAAAAAAACACTGCCAATACCGAGACATTACTTAGCTTTGCTAAGTATGACATTCACCTGGATTTGTTGTCAAGGGAATTTTAGAAAAGATTTAGTGATTTCTTATCTTTTGAACAAAAGTTGGCATTATTCTCAGCACTATTCAACTTTGATGTTGCCAGAACAGAAGAAAACTTGCAGATGGAACTATTAGAAATGCAGTCGGATTCTTCACTCAGAGCAAAGTATCTTGAAGTAGGAATACCTAGATTCTTTTCATACATTCCTGAAAATTTTGCAATTTTCAGAAAATTTTCCACAAGATTATGGCAGTGTTTGGTTCTACCTGTCTATGGGAACTGTTATTTTCTACCTGTCTATGTGAACTGTTATTTTCTACCTGTCTACGTGAACTGTTATTTTCCTTCAGGAAAACACAAAGAACAAGGCTAACTGATCAACATTTGTTATCCCTGATCAAAGTCGAAACTGCAAACATTTCAGCCAGACATACCAAAAATTGTCAGCAAAAAGAGGTGTCAAGTCACAGGACCAAAAACTAAAACTGACTGAATAGTGGCAAATAAATGTTCAGTTTTGAACTGTTGTAATTTTTGTACAATGTATTTTTTGCTGTTGCAAACTGCAAATATATGTTGTTATTTAAAATACTATTTCTTATCAAACGACTTCATTTCTTTCTATACATAAACCCTGCTAAAACATTTGTATGCACATTATGTGTTTCTAAATTTAAGTAACAAAAATATTCTGCAATAAATTTTATTAAATGACTCCAATTACCGTATTTGACGATATATATATATAAATATATATATATATATATGTAATTTGACGTCATTTGTTTGCATTTGATACGCCATGAGCAGACATGAATGTACGTGAGAGATTCATGGAAGATTGAAGTTTAAATACAGTATATGCGACCTTGCTAACCGAATGGCCAAATCGGTAAAGACAGTTCCGTATAGAATACAGATTCGAATCCTGTCGGAGGACGAATAATTTCTGTGAAAATTTCTCGGACATTCAGGCTTAATACTGTTTATTATAAACAGAGCATTTACTTAAATATTTGTACCTATAAAAAGAATGTTAAACATAAAAATGTCTTAAAATATATACTAAAAATATCTTTTAAAATTCCCCTGCGTCTTATATGCCATATGCAGTTTAAAAATTCACGTTAGTCGACCGAAATTAGCTCCCTGGCAACTCCTATTAGCTTAGACTTTGAAGTAACTTTCATATATCTATTGTCATTATTTAAAAGGATATTTTGCAGATTAAAAGTGTTATTGATAATATTCATTATATTAATTTCATTACGTTTAATATTAGTACTTTGTTTCACTAAAATTATATGCAATAAATTCAAATTATATATTTGTAAAATATATTTGTTTCATTAGTATTTTTCTTGCAATAACTCCCGGTTGCATTGGTATAAATACAATCAGAATTGCCATGTTTATCACAACATTTCAGCCGTTGTACAGGTGGTTGGAATGTCGAACTAAACCTTTTATTTCGCTCACCGGGGTAGTCTGTTCTAGTTCCACGTGCCATGTTTGATGGATGTCAGCTATCAGTTATCTCCTGTTAATTTCCCTCTGAAATTGCTCCACTGTCTTAACCGCGTATTGAACTCACACTCTTTGGGTCCTATTTGATAAATATGGCGACAAAGATGAGGACAATAGTCCGAATAATGTAAATAATGTTCATAATACCTCATCTCGGAAATATAGACAGAACCTGAGATTTACTTGATCCTCCACTGAGTCAGCTTGTGACACAAGGTTGGTTGTTAATGTGAGAACCCGAGTGTTTCTACTCGGGCCGCTGGTCCAAGCTGGTCATAGCTTGTCTAAGCTGGTCATAGCTTGTCTAAGCTGGTCATAGCTTGTCTAAGCTGGTCTTAGCTTGTCTAAGCTGGCCATAGCTTGTCTAAGC